CTGTGTCAAATAAATTCATTTTATTTATTGACTGTAAATTGAACAATTTTTCCAATAAAATTAACATAGATAAATAATTAAGTTATATAAAAAAAGAAAAAATAATACCTTCATTAGGCTGTAAGTGAAGATCATAAAAGAAAAACAACATAAAAATCTTGTTAATGTGCAGGGACAGCTACATTTAGTCCAGGGTTAGTCTTAAAAGCCTTATACTTCTGGATCCAGTGCCTGAATATTTCCTGGATCTCTTTSGTTCTGAAACAGTAGACAAACGGGTTTACCAGYGGAGGGAAAAAGCTGTAGAAAAAAGCTGTGGCCATACTTTTCTCAGGCGTCAGGTTAAAATTAGGAATGTACGGTGCAGTGTAGACAAAGAAACGAGGTAAGTAGTAGACAGAAATGATAAATCCCTGAGTGGTGCAGGTAGAAAAAGTCTTCTTTCTGCCCTGTGGACAAAACAGACTGAGGTTAACATGTCAGGAAAGGAAAATGTGAACTTTTTTGTGATTTGAACCACAAATCTTGATTGTTTAATCTGACATTTAGATGAAATTCACCTGTCCAYTGACCATCTGTAAGACTGTAACAACAATGCAAACATAGGAGAAGACGATAAAGCCTAAAGGAACATAAAGAATAAACATTGCTACGATATATGTGGATCTGTACACATAGCTTGTGTTGCCACATGCTACAGCAAGTAAAGACGCATAGTCACAGAAGGCCTGCAGGATTTGAGTGGGACCACAAAATGACATCTTTGTCATGTAGCTGGAGCCGATGCCAGGAAAGATGTGAGCTGTGACCCAGCACAACACCGTCAGGACCGTCATGGCTGGGATTGTCATCAGCATGGGGTATCTGAGGAGTGAAGAGTGAGGAAAAAAAACAGAATGATGTGGTTTCTTTCATGTTCCTGAAGTTAGATATAAAGAATTCCAAGATTTGCTTTTTTCACCTGAAAGGAAAGCAGATGGCCAGGTATCGGTCCACAGCCATGGTTAACAAGATCAGAGAGTTTAAACTTCCAAAATAATGGATCATGTGTCTTTGAAAGTGACACGTGTAAAAACCAATACTCCCATCATTCCACCAGTAACGAGCAATTAGTTTTGGTAAAGCAACTGTGGTAAAACCTGCAGCAAGAATGAAACAGTTTAAGACACAACATACATCACACACAGATGATAATTTCTAAAGTTTTTGTCGTGGTAAAAACAACATTTACCAATGTCTGAGAGAGCCAGGCTCACCATGTTGATATACATTGGCTTCTGAAGGTTGGGCTCCAGAGCAAACACTACAACCAGGACCATGTTGCCCACCACTGTGATCACATAAAGGATGAAGAAGAACCATGCCACTGGATGAAAATACTCCTGCTGCAGACTTGGAAAGCCCACAATAAAAAACTCAGACACTTGCACCTGTGTGCTGTTTTGATCCACTTGAACCATCCTGCAGGCAGAGTGAGGCAGATTATCTATCAGCACAGAGGAAGCAAACAACTGAATGTGACACACAGGAACTCTGAGCAGGTCTTACCTCATCCACTGGTCTAAACAGACAGACCGGGACAACAGGAGTCAGGTATATTCATGTTGCAGTGACAAAATAATAGCAGAGTTTATTGTTGCAACTTTGTCTCAGAGGAATAAAAGTAATTAACTCTCTAAGGCCGCAGAAACTTTTGACAAACAAATTCTAGTTTTTACATTGTTCTTGACTAAACGATGCCAGTCTTAGTGAGACCAACCTATCTTTTAAGTCAGGAAGACCCTCAATAGAACCGCTTGCAGATCGAGTCCAGCTCGCTTAAGGTAAAATGTCCGAGTTCTGATAGAATACGGCCACCCATCGAATTGGTCAGTCAGCCAGGAGATGAACAGCCACCGACACTGAATTACAGAACACCAGGAGGCCTCCAGTGATCGGAGTCCAGACATAAATCCAGAACAGAGAAGAACAGAGGTCCCACCTTTGACATGTCCTCCCATGGAAGAATAATAAACGTTGTTCCAAAACATTTATTGAGAGACCAGCTAACCAAATCCATAGAAATAAAAATATCCATGATTTCTTATTTCGGATGAAAAATGTAGAGAGGCTCCAAGTAGCAAAGCAGGGAAAGATAAGGAAGGGCAGGAGAGAAGGAAAAAGCGTCTCACTCCTCAGAGAGTGGAAACAAACAAACAAACAAACAAACAAACAAACAAACAAACAAACAAACAAACAAACAAACAAACAAA